TACTAAAAAGGTCTCTGGAACTAGCATCATATTGAGATTTAGTGATGACCCTCGCTGCCCTATTTTGCAATTTTTGCAATTTGTCATTTAACGTGATATTCAAACCATCCCAAACTGAGCTGCAATAATCAAAGTGCGGTTGAATTAATGCTCCATAAATTTTCAGAGCAGTGTTTGTATCTATAAATTGGCGTATCCATTTAAGAGCTCCAATAGCTGATGCAATCTTTTTGGAAATATTTTCGACATGTCGTGCCCATGTAAGATGCTCATCGATTTGCAAGCCTAAGGATTTCGTTTCGTTGACTCTCTTAATAGTCTTTCCGTCGATTTCTATCCTTATGTGTTCGTTATCATGTACTAGTAATCTTTGACGAGATCCTATTATCATGAATTCTGTTTTAGCTACGTTAAGACTCAGTCTATTAGCTAGTAGCCACTGATGAAGATTTTTTAATATTAGTGTCGTCAGCAAACATTCTTGGAGAGGCTCTGTCGAGACAATTAGGCAAATCATTTATGTATATTAAGAACAATAGAGGTCCCAAGTTACTGCCTTGTGGTACCCCACAGGTTATTTTAGCAGTTTCAGATAACTCACCATTGACGCAACATCTTTGACTGCGGTTGCTTAGGTATGATTCGAAGAATTTGATACCACTTTCATCAACGCCATAAATTCGTAACTTCCGTAAAAGAATGGTGTGATCAATAGTATCAAATGCTTTTTTAAGATCGATAAAAATTACTCCGTTAAGAAGGCCTTTTATCTATATTTATATCACATTTGTGTCGGTTTTCTTTGATCGTCCGAGGTTTATAACTAGCTAATATACCTTGAATAAATAATTACATCAAACTTTTCGACAAAACGCGAGAATTTTTCATCAAAAATTTTTGAAAATGACAAAATATGTTAGAAAACTTCCACAAATGTGATATAAGTTAGTTATAAACCTCGAAAGTCGGTTTATAACTGATATATTGCCCTCGGACGCTGCGCGTCCTCGGGGGCAATATATCAGTTATAAACCTCCTTCTCGGTTTATAACTCTAACTTATTGACCAATTATCCGTGGCTTCTATTAGGGCAGTTAGTGTACTGTGCAATGATCGAAATCCAGATTGAGACGCAGATATTACATTGTTGTTGTTCAGATACTCATACAACTGCTCAAAAGTAAACTTTTCAAAAATCTTTGCTACTACAGAAATAACAGATATTGGTTGATAGTTGTTCATGTCGTCTTTTTACCTTAAATATTGGAGTAACTCTCGCTAGCTTCCAGTCTGTAGGAAAGATGCTTGTACTAGTCTTATTAAATATTTGAGTTAACGATGGGGCAACTATTTCAGCTGAAATTCTTAAAAGTTTGCAAGGTATTTTATCAAGACCAGCTGCTTTCCTTTCGTTAATTGCTTTTCATTTTTTGTAAACTGCATATACAGTGAGCGATTTCATTGAAAATGTGGTTTTAGCAGGCACAACATATACTTCAGGTTCTACGGTAGAGGGTGGTATATCGGATGCTAAATTTTCACCCACACTAGCAAAGTGAGAATTAAATGTCTCCGCTTTTGCTTGGGTGTATATATGGTTTCTTCACCCACTTTGATATTGGATATAGTTTTGTAGCTAGAGGCATTACGAGAGTTTAATTCGTTAATAAGTTTCCAGGTTGATTTTGGATTTTTCTTATTAGCCTCAAGGTTAACTTTAAAATATTGACTTTTTGCACTTTTAATTTCAGTATTCCTGCTATTTCGTGAATGCTTATATTGTTGCCAAATTAATGGATCACCGGTCTGCGTAGCTTTCTTTTTCAGAAAATCTCTCTTACGCATTTTTTGCTTTAATTGGCTGGTGATCCAGGGAGATTTCGTTTTCCCAACTCTTTTTGATCTGAGTGGTGCATGCTTGTCAATACAATTAATTAACATGTTCTTCCACTTCACCCACATTTCATCAGGATCATTGCTTAGGTTTACGTCTGCTCATGCTTGTTGTTCTAAATCTCTTAAATAATTTTCTGTGTAAAAATTTTTCATGCTTCTTATATGAACTAGTCGCGAGCATGTGTGTTTGTAGTGGACTTTGTGTGTCATATAGACTAAAACATGGTCACTTATAGAAAGTTCTATTATCCCTAAATTTACGATCTTTGATGGAGTGTTTGTAACACAAAGATCAATAAGGGTAGAAGAATATGGTGTAGTTCTGATCTACAATAAGTTGTTTTAAGCCAAAAATTTCGAATATATCATTCACTGATTTATTTCCATTGACTGATGTTACACCCGGCATAAGATCCACGTTTATGTCGCCTAGGAGGAAATAGTCATGATTTGTCGCATCAACTTTCTCTACTATTTTCTCAAAGTGATCAAAATGGCACACTGGTGAGTCTGGGGGCCTATACCAGGTACTAATTAATAGTGATCTAGTTCGAGGTTTAGTAATTTCTACAGTTAGATACTCTAATTCATCAGAGCTTAAATCTTTACAAATTTTGTAGTTAAGATTGCATCTTATATAGATACAAACACCACCCCCATGTCGTCCATTTATTTTTCTATCCTTTCTTACTATTTCATAACCAGGTATATAAACCTCATTATCCTTAATTGAAGAATCAAGTTTTGTTTCATTGATTGAAATAATATCAATATCAGATTCATTCATAAAAACTCGAATTTCATCAATATGCGCTAAAAGACTATTAATATTTAGAGAGGCCATCACTAAACCTTTACCAAACGGTTTATAATTAATATCAAAACACTTACGGTTTATATCCGGCAGCACAGGTTCAGACTCCCGCCCGGCATTTTCTTTATCGTTAAAATGAGTCATTCCTGATGAGTTTAATTTGTTGGATGGCGATTCAAGCGAGAAATTAGCTTCAACAGTTCCTCCAGCTGGTTTATGGTTCCCGTTTGAAAATCCCGTCTGGGGCGGTTACGCAGTTGGCTTGATGGTTTTCCTCCTTTAATGACGTTGATAATATTGCTGTACCCTTTGAATTCAAGTGCAGCTTACTGAAGTTTAGAGAGGTTTCGTCCAAAGATGAGTCGGTAACGCGTCATAACTAGATTGCAATAATTTATACTAATTGCAATAGAGCGGAAATAACAAAGTATCTTGTTTCAAAATGTATAGCGTGCTGTCCATAGATCTCCATAGATATGGTGCTGTCTCTCTTCGTGTCCGGTTTAGTTTATACTTAAATGACTTGAATACGTTTTAAGAAGGTTATTGATATGACTATACTATATAAAACTGCACAACTAGTGTCACACTATTATTTTTTTTTACTTATATTAAGTGTCACGGCAAACTTCATGATCACACGAAGTTTTGATACAGTCAGGGATATTTTGTTCAGGACAAATTTTGTGCATATAGTCATAATAACTAACTAGAAGAGTCTATAGATACGATTTGATAAAAAGTGTATCTTTAAATATAAGGCTTATAGTTATATATTAAAGGCGTATTTTAGTTTCGATCGCGACGGGTATTTTAATAATTTTGCCCTGACACTTGCGGTTTCCGTATTTGTAACAAAACCGCTAAATTAATAACACCTGTCTATTAACATAATTCCCGCCAAAATAATAAATCTGATTCGAAACATTGCAGGTGAGCCAAGTCCGTCTCTCCCTCCTCTCTTGCACCTCGCGCTTCGCGGCGCGCTCGATCTCGTCGCTTCGCGACTCCAACTCTAGAGAGACGGACTTGATCCAAGTCTATATTCCCAGTTGAGGTGTTATTGTCTTCGGTTGGTTGATGATCAGGATCGGATTGTTGACTAATGTCAAGGTTAATTACACTTGGATATTGTTCCCCATTTCCTTCGCCCACCTCATAGTCTAAGGTGTCAAAACTATTGTGCAAGTTCAATGTAGCAGATGCTTGATTGTCTTTGTTCTTCGGGGCCGACGTTGTTTTCCATTCTGCATGGCGTTTTTGAGAGGTGGTTCGATTTTGTTCGATATCCTGTTGCTGTAATTTAAGTGCTGTTATTAAACTGTCTCTTTCATGTTCAAGATCTTTTACTTTAGTTTTCAGGTCTGATGTAGTAAGACTAAGGTTCAAGATTGTAGATGTCCCAATGCAGCTTCTCTAAGAGAATGCTTAGAACTGACATCGTAACTGGACTTCATAATCACTCTGGCAGCCCTATTTTTGTAATTTTTGCAATTTTCACATAATGTAATATTAAATTCATCCCAGACAGGGGCCACAGGGCTACAGTAATCAAAGTGAGGTTGAATTATTGCGTTATATATCTCGATTGCAGTTTGGATTGATATGAAAGGTCGTATTCGTTTAAGAGCACCTATAGCGGATGAAATGTTTTTACATTTCATATCAATATGCTTGGACCAAGAAAGGTTTTTGTCAATTATTTGCCCTATATGGGCCAACACAAATTAAATCACTTATAAATATCTCATTTTCTGCGGCGCCCAATGGATCACTGGCATGATACTCACTCTTTAATTTTAGCCACTTACACACGAACATTCTATGGCAAGTTTTCATGTGTTGTCAATTCTGCGTGTGTACACTGTAAAAACCTTGATTGGTTAAAATGGCCAACAAGAATTGGTCATTCTAACCAATTGGTCATTGAGGCATGACCAATTAAAAATTGGTTACTTCGACCAATAATATTATTTTTGGCCAATTTTAAAAGGTCAATTCAATTTGGTCACTTTGACCATGATTATGATAACCAATAATTTAATGGTCGTATCTATGACCAATATTCAATTGGTCATACGCTATTCTATATACTGGGCAACGATTTTTGAATTTATTTCGGTTATTGTTCATCCAGATTCAATAAATTGCTCTTCGACACTATGTTTGCGAGTCTAATACGAATTTTGAATGTCGTGACTTTGAAATTAAATTTATACCATTACCTGTTGACCGGATGGATTCTGAGCCCATCCGCCGGGCCTTATTATAACTGCGCGTGCGAATTTCACACAAACAATGTAGAGAAAGTATGGATCGCTTTATGCATTGAGATCAGTGGAGGGGTTTACCATATTTGGATTGCCCATGAGGCTTTGCGCGTTTAATCTGAGGCGCGCCCAATGAGCTCTATATATGGACATATATCTGGAGCAAGAACTTCGGTCATTCCGGCCTATGAGAAAAGTGAAGGCAAGATGGCGAAAATTGATGTCCAATAGCTATGAAGTTCGTAAACAGTTTTAATACCATCCCCCCCCCCACTCCCTGTAGTGTTATAAAGCACGCATTTCATATAACATAAAATAATCACTTGTTTATTACTCGGGTATATAATCATAACTAACTATGATACATGTGCTGGTTGATTGACATATGATAATTGATATATTAATAGATCAAGTTACTACCCCTCCCCATCTAATTCCAGTTTTTCCAACCGACCATATCGCTAAACAAGTTATCGGTTCATAAAACCATAGTGTTATTCTTTAAATCGATGTCAAAATACAAAATTTTGACACACTCCTTGCCAGCTTCGTGTTAACCGCGCCGACAAAAAGAATAGAAAGTGACTGGAACTGATGTCCAATAGCTCTTTTTCAATTTTCGCCATCTTGGCGTCACTTTTTGGACACGATTTGAATGAAAATATTGATAGTTCAAAATTAATGTACTCACTTGCACGTTTTCTGGTGAACTTCGACACAATCATTGAATATTGGTAGCCTATCCCTTAAAGAAGAACAACGCATCAGATCAATCTATATAGACCAGTGGTATAGACAAAATATAATTTAGAATCCATTTAATGCGGAAAAATTTAACATATTTAAAAGCAGTGCCAATAGACACTTCCCGAATTTGCTTGAGTGCACACGAAACAATAGCTTGGAATCGAGGCGGACAATGTAATCCATTGGAAAACTATACTTATTTCCAATGGATTACATTGTCCGCCTCGATTCCAAGCTATTGTTTCGTGTGCACTCAAGCAAATTCGGGAAGTGTCTATAGGGCAGTAAAAATCGAAAGAACTTTTTTAAAATTTGATAGCATATAGGTGGTGATCTGAAAAATTTAATCGTTGATTGAGATTAAGGTTGCTGCTGTTTATGTTTTTATATGAAGTTATTTTAGGGAATCAAAATCCATCAAATGAGTTTTTTATAAATTAATAATTTCAAAAAAATTCAGAAAATCTACCCTATAGACATTAAGGAAATTTTACAAAACTTAAATTAAGGAATTGTTTTCCAGAATCTAAGGAATTCATAGAAAGTGGAAGTAAAGCATAAAATTCTGCCACTCTGTTGTGTTCACTCTTAAAATTGCATTTTTGGCGACGTTTGTCTCGTTTCGGCATGTTTTTTGTCGACTTAGGCCAAATAAAAAAGAAACTTGTTTAGCGTCACCGCCCGCCTCTCGATTTCTGCCGCCTCTGAATTTTTTTTTAATTAAATGTAAATCTCTTCGTTTTACAGCTTAAAACAGCTTAATATTTGAATTTTTTCTCATGTTCAAACCTTCGCGCTATAAACTGATCGATAGGAGCGCGTGGGCTTGGGTATACAAGAAGCTTATTATAGCAAAATGGCGGCCTTCGCAACATCAGTACAAAAAATATCACCGATATGGTGGAAAAACCGCCCCCATCCTCCCAAAAATATTATTAAAAATTTAAAAAACGAGTAAAAATTTTAAAAAAGCGCCCGCCCGCCTCTGAAAACTTGTGAGAGTGAGACGCTAACCAAGTATTTTTTTTATTTGGCCTTATTGTAGTTATGCAAACGATTGTTTTTCTCGTAGATGATTGTTGGGTTGCATGTACAATTTAGAGTACCCTTGTTTTTAAGAGATATACGGAATTGGCGTAAAAAGCGTCCGCCATCTTGAATTTTGATCCAATATTATTGGCTTACATGAATTATTCCAATTTGAGAGCCAGCAACATTGAACTGAATAGAACTGGAACGCTACTTCCAACCGGAAATTTGAAGCCAAACGTGAAGGCCAGTCCCAGTCTTTTCACGCATGAGTAGAGCACTCAATCTGTCAATCATGACATAAACACGCGTGATCTGACCTCCAGACACGCTTTAGTCTCCCTCGCAGACGTTCTTATAGGGTGATCGCTAGATAGTATACTTCAAAATAAGGTTTCCGTTTTTATAACGTAGAAAAAACTATCCTAACGCAACACTAATCCCTAACCCTAATACTCACCCTAACCCCAACCTAACCCTAACCTAACCCTAACTTATTTTAAAAATTGATATAAAAATGGAAATCTTATTTTGAAGTATACTATCTAGCAATTGCCGTTCTTATAGCTCTGACCCTCGCTAACTACAACCTCGTCCCCAGGGCCTTTTGAGGAAGGAGGCGAAGGGCAGCAAAGGCCCTGGTAAAGGCACAGGAGGCCCAGGCTCGATTTTCCCGCGCCCGCCTGTGCCTTCCTCATAACGAGGGAAGGAAGGAAACATTGAGACCAAAATAGCCCAGACTTGGCATATGTCACACGAAACTATCCTCGATTTTTCGCCTTTAATGCATTTCTTTCACGATTAATCGATATCCCCTGCAAGAATGATACCGTATAACTCTCAAACTAACGATGCTTTAATCAAAGAGCTTAAATTCGCTCTGAAATCCGTGAGGGAATAACAAAATTCGGCCAAAATATATCCGCGTGCCGGGTTTGCTGGACAAAAAGCGGAAGTCGTTGAACAACTCAAAATACACTCAACCCTGATTGGGCAACGAAAATCAACAAACATTTCAAATTTTCAGTAGTCAGTAATGTAACGTAATATAAATTTGAATCAAAACAATTAACAAATGTTGTCGGGGGAAAACCAGTGCAAATCTAATTATTTAAATTTAAGAAGTTTAGTCAGTAAATACGGATAGTAATTTACCCTATTTGACAAGATGTTTCAGCGTAAATTATAGTTATATTTACAGTTATATTTACAGTAACACATATAATCGACTTGTAGGAGACTTTATAACGTTTGTGAATTGTTTTGATTCAAATAATCAAATTATTACAGTACTGTTCCAAGTACTATCCCCCCTCCCAGTGGAGAAAAATTTGAAATGTTTGTTGATTTTCGTTGTCCAATCAGGGTTGAGTGTATTTTGAGTTGTTCAACGACTTCCGCTTTTTGTCCAGCAAACCCGGTGTCACAGGAGATTCGCCCCCCCCAGGAGATTCGCCCCCCCTCTCAAAAGGGGGGCGATATTCCTAGGATATTCGCCCCCCGGGGCGAATCTCCTAGGAATATCGCCCCCCAGGGGGGCAAATCTCCTAGGAATATCGCCCCCCTTTAGGAATTTCGCCCCCCCATATAAATTTTGAATTTTTGATCTAAAAACAAAACGATTGCAAGTTGAAAAGGTTTATTGTGTGATTTATTTATTTATTTATTTATTACAAAGAGACAAAATTACATACACATTTTAGGCTTCTTAGCAGCTGGTAGTGTGCACACTGCAGTCTGCATAACCACTCATTTGAGGTACTTAGACTAGTGTCATATTCTACACATTTAAAGTGGAACCATTGCCCACAGAGATCGCATAAAATCATATAAGATATCTATGATAAAATCATGTTGTCGTATTCTTCTGACAGTTTACATTCACATAACATATTATAAAAACAATCGCTTGCAAATTTTATCAATACCAGTGTTAACAATAGCCGCCACAGTAATCAGTGACTAATCACTTGCTAACAATAAACTATAGGATTAATAAAAAATCTATGGAATGTGTTGGGAAGCGTATTGACTATTGTCCGTTGAATCATCAACTTTCCAGTCTTTCCATGTCAGTGTTTAATTTAATAGTGATGTAATCTTGATTCTTGACTTCCGCAAAGAAAATTGCATTATATATGTGGTGTGGTTTATTCAAATAATTTCATGATACTTTGACTTTATTAGTGCCTTAAACATTTGAGAATGTAACTCTGCAAAACTAAAAGCTTATTCGTCTTTTTTGAAACGTATATTATTGGAGTATTGCCTATTGGCAAGTTTTACCCTTCGCTTCTGAGATTTACAAACTATATTGAAATAATGCAAGTAAAAAATAGTGACAACTTATAAGCCACACATTTTCCAATAACGACAAAACGTGGATGCAAAACAATACCAATAATTACAATAACCACCACGGTGATTACTTTTTAACAATGAGTTTAAGGATTAACACTGAAATGCAAAATATGCATGGTGTGCTGTGAAGCGTCATAAGTCCTATTGATCTACTGTAACTGTGTAAGCCCTTTCGATACATGTAATTGTAAATTTGTATTCTTACATGCAGGGCTTGAAATAATAAACGTTCCCAAAGTTCACGATCATGGTGATCGGCAGTCATGACTTTCCCTGCTTTTTTCAGGTTGGAAACCGAAACCCTGCTTTTCCGCCGATCATATTAAAGCAATTCCTTGCCGATCGGTGATCGGTTGTTATTTCAAGCTCTGTCTTAACAATTTTGAATTGATATTGATTTCAAATGATTAAAGCCATGTAATAATTATCCCATGCAACTGTTAGGAAGGGCGAAATATTGAACGGAGGACGAAAATCCTAGGGGGGCGAATTTCCTAAAGGGGGGCGAATTTCCTAAAGGGGGGCGAAATTCCTAGGATTTTCGCCCCCCTGGGGGGGGGCGATATTCCTAGGAATTTCGCCCCCCGGGGGGCGAAAGTGTAGGGGGGGCGAAAATCCTGGGACACCGGCACGCGGATATATTTTGGCCGAATTTTGTTATTCCCTCATGGATTTCAGAGCGAATTTAAGCTCTTTGATTAAAGCATCGTTGTTTTGAGAGTTATACGGTATCATTCTTGCAGGGGATATCGATTAATCGTGAAAGAAATGCATTAAAGGCGAAAAATCGAGGATAGTTTCGTGTGACATATGCCAAGTCTGGGCTATTTTGGTCTCAATGTTTCCTTCCTTCCCTCGTTATAAGGAAGGGTAATTGCTAGATAGTATACTTCAAAATACGATTTCCGTTTTTATAACGTAGAAAAAACCATCCTAACGCAAAACTAAACTCTAACCCTAATATTAAACTTAACCCTAACCCCAACCCTATTTAAAAAATTGATATAAAAACAGAATCCTTATTTTGAAGTATACTATCTAGCAATTTCCTATAAGAAAGGCACAGGCGGGCGCGGGCAAATCGAGGGCAAATCGATCTGGCTGCCCACGACACACCAGGATTTGAAAAATTTGTGCGAATGGATTTTGATCATTTCAAAAGATAGTTGATAATCTATCTGAAACGCTTTACAAGAAAGACACAATAATCGCTTCGATATTTGGCAGCGCTACAGCACGCTGTCCGTACAGAAGCGAATTTCATTGCCCATGCGTTTCCTGCTCAAACAATGCCTGGGTAATTCGATATTTTCGGCAATCGTTGCCGAAAGTTCAAGCATTTCAACTTTCCGCAACGATTGCCGAGAATATTGGGTTGCAATTGCGTTACCGCGCCAGATATGTTACACGGGCAATTTCATCACTCGCGCGAGTAACGCAATGAAATTTAACCAGTTGCGTTGCCGGCGCGAGAAAAAAATCGCACGTGTAACTGGACCTTAAAGGAGATCTATTAAATGTACAAAGCAACAGTGCAAAACGAATGGATCGATAGAAGTATTTATACTATGAATTTAATACTGTCGCAAGGAAATTGCTGCCTTGATTGTGAAACAGATATGTAAAATCACTTTAATTTAATTTAATAATATGGACTCTCAATACACCATATCCATGATCATCAAAACATTTAATAGTTATTGTTGCTACAATAGATCTTTCTTGCAAATGTCAATATCATACAGTATATTTAACAGTTAAAGGGAGTACAAGACCCAAAGGACTTGGAATTTAAATGCTTATGTTAGCCATATGCCCTGAGTAAAACCTGGTTGACCTCCATGGTTAATTAACATTTCCTGAATTTAATTGAGTTGAAATATTTTATTTTATTTTTATTCTTATCCCAAGAACATTGTGAACACACATATAGTGCTTTGGGTTTAGATTTCAAAGGCCAAGCTTCAAAACAAATGTTGTGATCTTAATGATCAGGCATTCCCAAACAATTACATGCATGAGGGTCAAATCAGACAGAAAGCCTCCATATGCTTTATCAAGGCTGAATAATATAATGAGAGGGAATTAATTTCCTCATTATACTGTTAACAAGCCCTTGTTTTTTGTTTGTAATCAATTACACAAATTACTTCCCAGAACATTATTTAAGGAGATTATTTGACAAGTCAGCAGGTACATTTTTTCCTGAGCCACAATTGGGGCAATTCAGTGTCACTCGTCACAACAGGCGCTCAAAATCACTCACAACATACAACAGGCAGTTCAGCATCACTCACCACAATTGACTGTTCAATACTGTGTGCCTCAGTAGGCAAATCAATAATCAATATTTTGCTTTTAATTTAAATACATTTTGCCGCCTTGTAATAAAGTACTATTTGTTGTTGGTGACCATCAGTTGAGCAATTTAAAACATTCGCAGTGTATGCTTTATCAGACCTAAAGATACTTGGCTTCACCTCGTATCTTTATACCTGATAAAACTATAGTACGTAAAATAATAACTATGATATTTAGCCTGAATATTATTATAAATGTATGAAGGATATTATACATATATTCTTGATGCTCAACATTATCCGATAATCATTTAAATTACATGAAATTATTGACTGCTATTATTGACGCAAACTCGATTTCTCGACTACGAAAAAAACAGAAAAAGGGGGATTTAAGACACTTGGCCTTACAGGCCAGTGTAATAACAAGTTTCGACATTGCAATCAAACTGACAGGGTAGTTGTCATGACCATGGTAATAAAAATATTTCTGTGGCTTGGCATTTATATTGGGCAATTTTTTATCATTCATCACAAAATTATACCTGCACCCTAGGTGGTTCCCTGCAGGGGGTCATAACCAGGGGGAAGCTGATGAAAATGAATTCTGGTATTGGTGGCTGATCACTATCATTTAATATGAATAGAACATTTCTTAAAAAAAGTATATGAATTTATTAAAAATATTTATATGGTCTCCCAATCTGGAATTCATACTTTGTAACATCTGGATCAAAAGGTTTGTGACGTTTTCTTGGACAGAATCCAATTAATACAACCTCGTACAGAGGGCAGGGCTTCTTTGAATTACTGTGTGGCCAAGATTAACAAAGGGATTGCCAATTTGGCATATTGTGCTACTCAATAAATTAAAATCATTAAATACTTTATGCTACAATTAGCTGTCAGTAATATTATACTGTATATTATTGTGTTTCATATGACGTCATAAATTTGATGGGTAGTCAACTCTAAATCGAGACACAGTCATCAGAGTGAATTAATTTCACTAATAATAATAATAAATTCACTGCGTGTGTTGGCCTTGTGTTTGGTAGCAAATACATGCAATTTCATATCATTTGCTCACTCCAGTACAACATAAGCATCAATACATTTATTTTTAGGTTGATCCCCCGTCAGAACCAATGACAGAATGTGCAAATTGCCATAGTGAAACCCAAGAATTCATATGTATTTAATAGGTGTATGCAGACTGGAATACAAGTTAATATCACTCAATCACTGCCTGTGAAATTGTGGTTTATTTAGAGAATAAAGCGTTTTTGAACTCTTCTATAAATAAATTATAACAGCAAAAGATTCATATGCACCCATATAGAGAAGGGTTACATGCTACAAGTTAAAATGAGTATTACATACTCCTGCACTTGAAAAGTTTACAGTACATGCCGTATATACATTAAATAATAAAATATATAACAGTAAATTCCAAGATTGGATTTATTGAAACTAGTTATTAGCTAGTTCTTCGCAATTAAATAACACAAAGACAAATAAATAAAAGTTATTAACCATTTCTGACACAAATAGTATTTGCAAAATATAGCACATACTTGATATTATAGTCAAAACACTGACAGTACTGTATACTATGTATAGATTAAAACTACAGAAAACCTGTACAACACAAATATGAGTAAAGTTTTCACGCTCCATTTAACTGTTGTGATATTATACGCATTAATTATACGTTTCTTTGCAGTTCCTCTGTAGTATACTAATATAGCACAGCTCTGAAAAACCAAAACAATATTCGTACACTCCTAAACGGCCGCCATGTTGTATATAAAAATATACGGTTAAAAATTAATTTTTGCAAAATTGCAACATTCCATTGTACACCAGCAACCAATCATATTCATTTCTGAGATGGATTATCCCAGAGCCTTCGTTTCCTTCCCAAGGATCGCAGACGAGATTGACGTCTGCTGAAACCATTCTCGTACCCAGAGCCCTTCTTACGCGCGGTCAACGGAGCACGACGAGGGGCTCTGGCCAAATCCATAACCGGATACCATAAAACATGGTATCCGGTTAAACACTGCGCATGCTCAACGTCAAACGCGGATAAACACTTCGGTTTTCTTGTTTGTTTCGTTTTGAATGTTTCACTCCAGGAAAATCCCACAAAAGCGGTAGGTTTCGCTAATTTTATTTATTTAAATCAATTAGTAGGTAAGACGTGATGTTCTCAATGCATGTTGATAAAATTTAGTATATATTTCCCTCTTAAACGTTGTCAAAGCAGTAATGGATACGGATACGAAGACGAGAGATTGTCTCACTATTTTATATTCGATTTTAAGTCGCTGTTGTACAGATTTTTAGACTTTTTTTGTGTTTTATTAAAAGTCAACAGTCATACATAAGACATACTATACTGTAAATCCGTTGAAAATTGTAAAAAATCGGTTTCTAGGAAGAAAATAGTCATCACAGTTAACTTCATATTCTGGCTGGCTTTAATATTTTCCGCTTCAGATGGCACTTCAGCTTTGAACATGTAACACAGATTTGTTTGATTAACATCACTGATTTGGAAATACGACGAGCATCTGCCATAAATATGCTGACTTTTTGCTATGAGAACATCACGTCTCAACCTATTAATTTCAATCAACTAATTGATTTAAATAAATAAAATTAGCGACATCTACCGCTTTTGTGGGCGATTATCAACAACAATCTTCCTAACTGCTTCGTACTGCTGTTCTTTCAACTTTAATAATGTCTTTTCTCCCAATTTTCTCCAAAACGAAACCAACGCTTCATGGAGCGCTTGATTTTTATTCATATTTTATACAATAAACCATATATTTCGTTGTGGCCAATCAGAAGCCAGTTTGATATGGATTTGGCCAGAGCCCCTCGTCGTGCTCCGTTGACCGCGCGTAAGAAGGGCTCTGGGTACGAGAATGTGCTGAAACGAGCTGCACATTCCATTCCCTCCGATCGACCAATCACAGTGAACCTTCTATATTTCGGAAAGTGATTTACGGGCGGAATATAAAATAGTACATAAATATTTTTATATTTTGAAAGCAGTCGTCGGTTGAATTTGGGTCAAAATTGCACATAAATTGAATTTAAAGACATTGATACTTGTCCAGGAAATAAAATGCGCTATTAATTATCAGATTCGGATATTAAAGGTGATCTACAGTCCGTATGTAAACAAAGCCTTTGTTTACATTTTTGTGTCCAAAATATTGAGCTTTATTCGACAACTATTTATATTTTCAAGCTTCTAGGACCTTCTAGAGTATAATAAATGATCAAGAAACAACAATTAGGCTTTTCAAGAACTCAAAACATAGTTAAACTGTTTGTATCATAAAAAGTGGGCTCATTTGTGCACATGCGCAGATCGGACTGTAGATCACCTTTAAAGATGTTCGGTTATATTTAAAACGTGGACAGGATGGCATACTCGAGGGCATACTGTATTAATCTAGTGGCGACAGCATCAAATGCAGAATATATTTCGCTGAAATTTGAACTTTTGACAGATATATATCTTTAAGACAACAGAACTCAGAAGACAGAAAATTTGATATAATACTGTGGCTTAGAAAGCGAAATATTAGTTTCAAAGTAAACTAATTTGTTGTTTGAGCAACGACTTCTGACTTTTGAATGTAAACACAACACAAATAAAACCCGAGAAACTTTTAAATTAATTGCGTTGATATGAATTTCCAGTTCCCCCAAACTTCGAAACGTTTATACATGTAACTTCGCTATACTTAGTCTACATGCAACGAGAGCTTAATCTTTTAGAATTTTTCGTCGAAGCCATGGCATATCGGAAGAATTTAATAGCAACATTTGGACATATCCTGATCTACTCGTTCTCGAGTTTCCCGATTGCTTGTTTGTCATTGTTAACAAAATTTAAAATTTCGCTTGTTGCATAACTTTTGCATTTTATATAGCCGGTTGTTTGCAGAACATGCGAGAAGATGATCACAATATTATTCTACCTAAACATCGTGAAGTTCAAGGCTATAGTTTCCAAAATATCTCCACGCAAGTAAACAAATTTCAACCCAAACAATATATTCCCATGTGCAAGGGCTTTCCCCAGTAGCTAAACCCTCAATAAGGCGGCTTCCAATTGGCTCTTTCTCTTTTGAACACTGCCAGATGATTGGCTCCTAAAACAAAGGGAATGGAATGTGCAGCTCGTTTCAGCAGACGTTAGTTAGCGAGGGTTAGAGCTATAAGAACGTCTGCGAGGGAGACTAGACACGCTTTGGCTTCAAGAAAAAGATAGGCAGTTTATCTGAAGGTAGCATCAGTTATATCAGTAGATAAATGTTCTATCACAGTAGCATTCATCCCCTGGAGCATTAAATTTCGATATCTTTTCAGGGGGTGACGGCCTCTCTTTATGGCACTTGCTAAGAACATGGCGGACTGGAAATATCCCTTACGCTGAAATTAATAAGAAGTGAGACTCTGTATGGTATTTACTCTGTGCTTCGAAAGGCCATTCGTGAGACCCAGAAGAATCACTGTTTATATTTCCATGGTTATTTTTTGTTTTCATGCAGAGGCAAATTGAATTAACACTCCTGTTTATAAAGAGCTTTATTTTAGAGGCAATCAAGTCCGTTGTGCTGACGCCCGTGTTTTGTTCGCATGATTTGTTTCAAACAATAGATATTTGAATTAAAATTCCAATCTGTGTGAAATATGCAAAAATTCCAATCTGATTGCAATCATTGCTGGAGGCACTCACAACTGATACATCACGCAACCATTTAGCTCCAAAATAAAGCTTCAACTAATTATTAAATAAGAAAAACTAATTGCCCATTTCCCAGACATGAGCGAAACAGACTTGACTGACAAAAATGAAAAATATGACACACATAAAAATCTCACATCAGCAAGTCTGCCAACAAGCCGCCAACAAGTTAACTAGTTAAGTCGCACTGTTTGTCCCAAGTTGTCAACAAGTATGGAACAACTTGTTAGCAGTTGTAACTGAATCTTGTTGATATTATCAGGCTTGTTGCAAGGTTGTTCCAACAAGTCCAATACAGTCATGATATAACAATATTGTTACAACCTTGCATGTGTCGTCAACCTTGTAACATTCTTGTTATATCAAGACTGTATCAGACTTGCTAGAAGTCTAGAACAACCTTGTAACTAGTCAGATAATGCCATCAAGCTTGTTACAAGTTGTTAACAGCTTGCTCCAAACTTGTTACAACAACTGCGGGGAACAAGCAGTGCGAACACAACTTGTCGACAGCTTGTGAACAGATTTGTAATTATTGTAAAGGGGTCTTGTAAAGGCTCCGCCAGCGATTTAAATTATGTATAATTAAATTATTATTTTACATGGAACGACTTTAAAATTGACGTTTACGTTCAAATCACATTTCAAGGTAAGTTCTACAGTTTTCGACAGCAAAGTTGTAGCTAATTCATGCTTCAATTTTAATGCGGCCTTATAAACTTCGAACAGCTAACAGTAATGTGACTTTGAGTTTGCCGTTTGGCGCGGTTAGAGGAAGGTCTGTAAATTCTGTTAAACACAGTTATAAATAAAAAAATTTTCTTACCTGGTCTGGAAATATTCCATGACACCTTATATATTATATAAGAGGGTTAGCAGATGAAGCAGGGAATTATACAACCTCGCCCAGTGTCTCAAACAAGTTGGGAATTATACTACATGCATGCCGTGTCACGAAATATTTCTCGACAATATTGAATATCACTGATCATTTAGCCATTTTATTCGTTTATTTAACTGTATTTTACGCTATTACAAAGTAAAGCTTATCTATTTGGCTGTTTTAAAATCATTTACATAACATAAACACTAAACAGTTTACGACGGGGCTGCCTGTGATAAACTATGGTTCAAATTAAATATTTTCTACAAACTGTTATTTTTTGTTTGTGGAACATAAAAGCTAAAATTTATACCTGGTCCAGGTTCGCCTAAATTACCATAAACAGCTGACACAAGGATTAAGAGCAAGAAGCAAGTCTTCACAGAATTTCCATTTTTATTCAGCACGCCAGAAACTGACAAGATAATTCGACAGAGTGACGATGTTTAACTGAATTGCGTGAGTACCAACGCAGTTATAAGATACGTCAAATTTTTTCTGGTCAAGTCTGCCAGCGGGAGTTATGACTAAGTTAAAAGCTAGATAGATAGATACAGAGATAAGGAGATAATAGAATTTTTCATCTGCATTCCGTGTGCCGGCCTGCATGGGGGCCGGAATGAGTGCCAACACTCTATCAGTTGTGAGTGCTTCCAACAATGCGTCTTATGCCCACAGATTGCATGGAATTTTAATTAAAGTATATATTGTTTGAAACAAATTTTATTTATTTATTTATTTATTTATTTATTTAACTTTGCCAATAAACATTAAAACACAGAAAATACATATATGGACAATGGCAGGGAACACGCTACAGCTTACGCCAATTACAGCGGCCCATACATATAAGATACGACATCACAAACACATTAAACTAATAACAACACGATACTTCACAGGACAGATTACGGGACTTGTTACAGGACAAACATATTGATTTCCATGTTCTTGGATCATCCACGTCGTAACCGTTTCTAATGCTACTTTACAGTACATAAAAAGTCCATTTTTTAATTGACTAAGGCTGGTGTTATTGCCTGTCAAGTTCTTTGGCAAAATACCTGCGTCAACACAACGGACTCGATTGCCTCTAAAATAAAGTTCTTTATAAACAGGAACGTTAATATTTAATCTAATTTGCCTCTGCATGAAAACAAAAAATAACCATGGAAATAAACGGTGTCAGTGATTCTTCTGGGTCTCACGAATATAGCCTTTCGTCTTGTCTTGACTTATCTAACATGTGTCGACACTTCTACTTAACATGCTTTGAAATCAGATTTTGTTGCAAGTTGCAGCAATTTTGTTGCTGTGTAAAGGTGGAGTAATAAGTGTCGTGTAAAGGTGGAGTAATACGGGCAACAAAATTGCTGCAACTTCCAACAAAATCTGATTTCTACGCATGTTAATTGAAAATGTTTACACATAAATTACAAATCACAAGGCAATGTGTGTCAACATTTCTACTTAACATGCGTTGAAATCAGATTTTGTTGCAAGTTGCAGAAATTTTGTTGCTCGATCGTGTAACTCCAGCTTAAGTCGTGAGAAAATCAAAGCTAAAGTTGATGTAAATTAACATGATTTTTATCACATGTAAAACCACCGACATGGTAGTAATTTCCTTTGTCTTTTCCTCATGAATTATTAATGCGTTTTTAATTCCTAATAAAAGTTCCATTGCAAGCTGTTGGACTTGGAGATTTTTTCCATTGCATTTGGTTTTCATTGAATTCCATCCGTCAAACTCCTCATCGCGTGTCGTGATCACATCGATAGAATTTATGAAATTTAATGCAGAGTTGCACGTACAAGTAAACATGTCATTTGAAAAGGACTTTTAAACTTAATTCTCAAAGCAAAATGGCGGGCATAAAAATATGTTATTACGATAATGTTGATGGAATTAATAAATGCCATTTATTATTATTTTATTAATAATTTATTCGGACATTGTTTGGGACTCACTTGTTGCATTGTACGGTGACCTGATTTTCTGGCGGTTTTTACCAAACTTTGTGTTCAAATTTACTAAATAAAATTTTGCCGAATTTTAATTTCGCCGCCATTTCGGTGTGATAAAAATCCATGGTAACAATATATACACACCATCATGAGTTCGTCCGGGGGGGGGATCTACAAAAAGAGACCATTGCATGGTTGTTGGTGACAAAAAGTTGTATGTAATAGTAGGGGGTCTGGGGGTATTCCTCCCCCAGAAAATGTTTGTATTTTTCCAACCCTAGGACGGCATTTGGTGCGTTTTCTGAAACAGATTTGTGGATCAACAGCGTTACATTATATTGCAGATAGACTGAATCTTCAGTTAAGTACTTGCATGATATGTTTATGTAAATACCCCAACTCGGTCACTAACATAACTTAGTCTAGCCTTCAGACAACTCAAATCTATTTAGGGTCTGAGATATGCTGTCCACTTGGAAATTTTTGAAATCTAAGGTATTTTCAACACAATTCAATGATTTACAAGAATATCAAAGATCCCTTCTAAATTCCATTTTTCTTCCAATATTTTGCTTATGTTTTAGAGAAAAAAGACTTTGACTAATAATAATAAGCTTTAAACTTTAAACTTGGGGGGGGGGGAGGCGAAATGATTGAGTGGGGAAGGGCATCATGGTTGGCTGGAGGGCTTTGGCGGTTAAAAAAGGCCCTGATTTTTATTCGTAAGGTAAAGCCCTGGGCAAACTAGGAAACTTTGTTGTGGAAACAATGTTTCTTAGCGAATTCGGAAACGTTGATGTTTCGCTATGTTTCTCACTAATGTTTCCTAGTGTTTGCCCACTCTTGGAAACATGGCGAACGTTATATACATATACTGACGTACGGAAATAACGTACGTAAAATGAAAAATAATTTTCACATTGGCCAGGTTGCATTTTAGGAGACCTAATAGAAAAAAATTCATCATGAAAGACATTTATTAAAACGAGTCCCATACACTGATCACTTTTGTTTCAGAAAGAAAAAAGACAAAGCATGATCAGTTTAGCGCATTAGTGTTTAGTACTAGACTTAGTACTTCTTAAGGGGGCACGATCAACCACAATGCAATGCGCGCTTTTGGGGCATGATCAACCGCAATGCAATGCGCCTTTTCATTACTTTCCTCAAAATAGCTAGTTGCCGCCATTTTCGGGCCAGCTGGCTACGAGTCAACTACTCAACTCAGTTGACTGGGTAAGAATTTTTGTGAAAAAAATTAAAACACGAAGACTTCAAGTTCAAAGAAGGAAATCAGATGAATGGCATTTTTTTCTGTTACTGATGTAGGGCTCGAAGCTCTATTTTCAGCTGCTTGTAACATCAACTTTCGTGGGTGTACCCATGGGTTATAGCGTCCCAAATATTACCACAATTCCACAGACACTTAAAAATTATGCACCTCATCATGTCCGACCAGGAATATTTGTGATTCTCAGGATTGACTATAAAATTATAGTCATTTACATTGTTTATGAGTTGAAACTGCTCTCAAAATGCAGGGAGTAGCGTTTCTGCAACCTGTTTTCCACTTCAACCGTATCGTGACATACCCGGTAGCATTTTCTTTTGTGTCGAAGTCGTTATAGTTCCACTTTAGTGGTCAGGAAACAAAGAAGTACGCTTCGCAAAACGATACGGTTGAAGTGGAAAACTGTCTTAAGTCAACATTTTTTTTTTTGGGGGGGGGGAAGCAAACCCCCAGAGCTAGTTACGGTCTTGACATTACGGACATAATCTATATACGACAGCCTACGGTACTGAGATAGATACAACTACCTGATCTTTGATGTTTCAAGCGATGACCCTTCGTTGAGAGGTTGGTAGTTGGGAAGGGTAAATATCTAGATTTTGTTGGCATCTCACTCGATTCAATAATAGTTGGAGGGTTTTGTAGATGGAAATTATTGAGTGGAAATTTATATACATTTATTAGACCTAACCAGGAACAACTGCGAAAAATGCAACTACAGGTCCCTGGCAGGAATCGAACCTGCGGCTCTCCAGCGCTGCGCTCTAACCAACTGAGCTACAGAAGCCAGTTGTCAAGCTCTAACCATTGAAGGCTCTAAGCACAAGTTCATGTATATATATAGGCTGATACTGCCATGTTTAGTTTATGGGTAAATATCGAGATTTTGTTGGCATCACACTCGATTCAATAACACTGTTGAAGGATCTTGTAATATACAATTATTTTATGGTTTCCGTGTTTGGATGGCCTGATCCAAACACGCGGGAATGTTGCGAGAGTTAAGAAAAGCGCGCGAAAACGAGCCGAAGGCGTGTGATTTTGCGCGCTTTTCTTAACTCGAGCAACATTCCCAAGTGTTTGGATCAGGCCATCCAAACACGGAAACCATAAAGTAATTGTTTTATAAAATAACAACTTTCCGTGTTAAAATTTCACTTTAAAAAACTTTCACTTTAAATTTCCGTGTTTGGATGGCCTGATCCAAACACGGGTTTCGACCAATCAGAGCACGCGTTATATACATGTTATTTTATAAATGGAAATTATCGAATGCCGGAAATTTATATACATTAGCCAGGGACCTGTAGTTGCATTTTTCGCGGCTGTTCCTGGTTAGGTCTAATAAATGTTTATAAACTTTCCACTCGATAATTTCTACAAGACCTTCAACTAGGTGGGAACACTGTTAAAAATATCTGGATTTTTTACCAAATAATGCACTGTTATTTTTTACTGTGATTGAAGTATGTATACTGTAATCGTATTGTAATTGTAAATTACGTTAAAATTGACTGTATTTGAAAAGAAACCCGTTACTTGACATGTGTTTGACCCAGGGCCGTAACTAGACGCGATAATTGGGGGGTGGGGTGGGGGGGCATATTCATACATTCATGTTCACATACCGTAAAAACAATCGCTTTCAAAAGAAATCCGTCGGGCAGAACACGAATATATGAATATGCACCCCCCAATTATCGCGTCTAGGTACGGCCTTGGTTTGACCGTAATCTTTTACAATTACAGCATGTAACTGCAAATTATGGTGCAATAGACCGTGTTTGAAAAGAAATATGTTACCGCCTTTTTTCGGTATAAATACAGACTTCGGTTTAAGAAACAGTCTCTGTTTTTACAGTACATTTTCTGGCGTCCCAGCTGCCAGTAGAGTACTTTTTACTGTAAAATGGGTGATTCCAGCTATAGACTAAATTTTGATCAAGCCAAGAAGAACGAAATCCAACACCACAGCTAGAAAGAGCGTCTTTGAATGAATAAAACTGCAAAGTTTGGTTGCTAAATGTTGTTAAATTTAAGAAAATATAGTCCTGTGAAGTTCGCCAATTTTGTATACATTTGTATTATGCGCGGTAAAAACAACCACTTTCGGCTCAAAAATGGTTAATTTTCTCACGCGTATAATGCAAATATACACAAAATTTGCGAACTTCACATGGCTATGTTTTTCTCATTTTACAATAATTCGCAACCAAGCTTTGCAATTGTACTCATTTGAAGATGCTCTTTCCAGCTATGGTAATGAACTTCGTTCTTCTTGTCAAGATCAAAATTTCGTCTATCGCTTGGAATCATCCATTACAGGGTTTTTTCTTTAACAGTGAAGTTAGCCCGACGAGGGGCCTTCGCTCGAAACGTCGAACTTCTGCTTCAGTATTTTTCAGGTAGTTGTATCCCTCTGAATCCACAGCTGTCTCGTTATCGTCGCTATACCTACACTGGCACGGACTGTTCGAGATTATATCCTAATAATAGTGTTTACAAAAAGTCTACGGCATCATCATAGTTGGCACAGTTTCACTCGGGTCAGGACGCGAACGGACATAAACGGTGACGTCGTGATAAGACACATCACTTATAGCATTATTTGTGTTGGCGTACAAGCCATGCACGCTGCCATAATCCTTACCAGCAACTTTTATACCGACGCCAATCGCCTTCACGGATAAACTACAACCTAGACGAAATTAAAATTAAAACTAGGAGTTACTATCGTTCAAGGATGGGACGCATGCAGTAGCGAAGTAGTTGCAGTTGACTACTTTTACAATACTGTAGCTGTAGCGAGCTATACACTGATAAATTTGGGCTTCAAATATTTTCCCGGCATTCTTAAATTTCGGATTACATTACTATAAGGTACTTTTGCAGCTGTTTGTAATAGATTCATCACAGCATAGCATAGCATATACTTTCATACTTTCCTCTGAAAGATGTTCTTGCCTATTTCAGCCTTAACACTCTTATAAACGAGATTAATGTCTCAAGCTTTACGTCTTTCCAAGCAACGCCCAAGCCGAATTGAATTCGATACATGCAAAATTCGACGTTTCAAAATTTGTTTGAAACTGGTGTCGAATTTTGCATGAATTCAATTCGCTCGAATCTAATGCAACTGAGTTGTATTCGACATATGAAAAATGCGACTTTTGAACCAGGCCTTTCTTACCCGTATGAGGAAACACGCTGACAACCCCTAAACGAGCACGAACAAAATTTGGATCCCCCACGTTGAAACCACTTTTAAAACAAGCGTTAGTGAAGTTTAGATTCGAGACATCGATTTTGATACCATCAATCCATTGTTGTGTAGGTATTTCCAATGTGATGTTTTCGAAAAATAAACTGCGCAGCGACGGACCTTTCACGGGAAGTTGAATACCAAATCCAGTCGAGGTTAAGCACACCTCAGTCACGTTAGCACTCCAGAATTGTGAATTAAATTGAATCTGGTTTTCTCCTTTTGCGGTCCAAATTGCAGAGTCGTAGCTCGTCTCGTTCTAAGATAACGAGAAATTGTAACACTGCTCGCGAACTTTTTCACAGAGTAATTTAGAATCGAAAAATATTCCGTACGAACACAACGCTGTCATACGAAAATGGGCAATTTAAGGAGCCGTTTCAAATAACTAGAGGGTCTGATCACGACAAGGATTCAACCATAGTTAGATGGTTTGGAAACTCATTAGAATAACAATATAACTCATTATCTATGTTAGTCAGCGTTTATTCATAAATCTGGTCCTTCACCGTCACGTGTGTATTGTATTTTTGCCAAATCCACCAATAGCAATTACCAATTTACCCTATTGTTCGAGTCACGGATAGGTAACTTCCTAAAGCATTGCTATTGGTTAGTTGGGCAAAAATACAATACGCACGTGACGGTGAAGGACCAGATTTATGAATAAACGTTGACTAACATAGATAATGAGTTATATTGTTATTATAATGAGTTTCCAAACCATCAATTCTATTAACTATGATTCAACGAAGGAACGACGAAGACATACTCGATAATTTTTGCCCGTCTGCACATTATATTGCGCATATACTGAGTTTTGGGTCAGCGATGGCTTCTAAACGTGTTTTCCTGTTAATTATATATTCATGGCTCGTTGTTCAATACTGACCCTTATTCTTATTCCGACTCTGTTAGACCTCCGGTCGCCACGACCCCGGATGCACGAAAGTATTGCAGAGATGTAGTGGAGGGGAGGGGGGCTATGGCTCGGGACACGTCAGCAGTCCAGGGTCCACAAAACATACTGTTTCCCGAAAGTCCCAGTCAATAAGTATTTTTTTATTATATACCAAGTGTCAAAGACTTTGACACTCAAAGAAAATAACTTTGACTCTTGGTATATAATAATTAAACTGATTTAATTACAGTGTTTGGGTTGCCAGACAATTGCCCTATGAACGTCCATCCACTCCCTGTGCAGTCTGTTTCAGGAATCGCCTCGCCAGCACTATGGCATTCTGTTTCTTCATAACCAACGCTGTTTCTTGATTTGATGAAATAAATTCCACCACTTCCACTACAAAAATGAACAACAAAGTATAAGCCTAGTCGGAATCCTTGCATCTGTTCCTGGAAACCTGCTTGGCTGGGACGAGAAATTCGCCGTACTACAGCCAAGCGGGCTACGTAAAACGAGGGATACGTACATGCTGTATACAGTCTCATGGACGCTGCGTCCGACGGCTGCATATAGCATACATCTCTTGTTCTCTCGTTTTTGCAAGACATGTGACATGAAGCACGTATTTGTAGATGGGTTTTGTAGATGTGAATTTCAAATGTGAATTTTATACTCATTAGACCTAACCAGCTTCGTGTTCACCACAATAGAAAGGGACTGGAACTGATGTGATGGAAGTGATGCTTGCCATATAAAAAATTACATTATAATCTAGCATTTGTGAATTCTGAACGCTGATTGGCTAATGTGAGCCGTATTGATATAACTCAATGTCAACACGAAAACGTCGGAAAATTTCTTTCTTTATGTTTCTTTGTGCTATATTATAAAACAAATTAAATTTTTTTTTCCGTATTGATATACAGTTATGTTTCCACACAATTTCTCGTTTTCCCAATTTCCACTCGTGTTGATATAACTGTATATCAACACGGAAAATGTTTTATATTCGTTAAATGATATCCTGTCCAACTCCATTCAAGTGTTGAAATGTTTTTGTCAAATTTCCTTTGTTGACCCATTACAGGCGAGAAAAATTTTGTCTTTGCCAAGTTTTTCTATGACACTTGTTCATAAGCTAGTTCAAAATTAATGTACTCACTTGCACGTTTTCTGGTGGGCTTCGACACAATCATCGTATAATGGTAGCCCTTAAAGAAGAACAACGCATCAGATTAGCAATAGTATAGACAAAATATACTTAGAATCATAACTTAGAATAATACTAGAATCATAACTAGAATAACTTAGAATATATTTAAAGGAAGTACCAAGTCCAATATGGCAGTAAAAATCGAAAGAACTTTTTTAAAATAAGTTTTACATAGCATTATAGGTAATAGTATAGATGGTGATCCGAAAAATTTGATCGTTGTCGTTGATTGAGATTAAGGTTGTTGCTGTTTATGTTTTTATGTGAAGTTGTTTTAGGGAATCAAAGTCCATAAAATTAGATGTTATTTTTTATAAATTAATTTCAAAAAAGTTCAGAAAGTCTATACGCTAGACATTAAGCAATTTAAGGAAATTTTACAAAACCTAAGGCTAAGGAATTTTTTCCAGACTGAATCTAACGAATTCAACTCTGTTCACTCTTAAAATTGCATTTTTGGCCACGTTTGTTTCGTTTCGGCATGGTTTTTGACTTTTTGTCGACTTATTGTAGTTATGCAAACGATTGTTTTTCTCGTAGACGATTGTTGGGTTGCATATACAATTAGAGGCAAAAGTACCCATGTTTTTAAGAGATGTACGAAATTAGCGTAAAAAGCGTCCATAGGCCGTTTATGTTTTTCATATGAAGTTGTTTTATTTAATAGTGTGATACTTAATATGGAAGTTTTGTCAGGAAATGTCATAGGGAATCAAAACCCATCAAATTCGATGTTATTTTTTATAAATTAATTTCCAAAGACCAAAATACAAAACCTATAGAAAGTGGAAGTAAAGCCTAAAATTCAGTCACTCTGTCTCTGTTCACTCTTAAAATTGCATTTTTGGCGACGTTTGTTTCGTTTCGGCATGGTTTTTGTCGACTTATTGTAGTTATGCAAACGATTGTTTTTCTCGTAGACGATGGTTGGGTTGCATATACAATTAGAGGCAAAAGTACCCATGTTTTTAAGAGATGTACGAAATTAGCGTAAAAAGCGTCCGCCATCTTGAATTTTGATCCAATATTACTGGCTTACATGAATTATTCCAATTTGAGATCCAGCAACATTAAACTGAAAAGAACTGGAACGCTACCTCCAGCCACTGACCAGTCCCAGTCTTTTCACGCATGCGAAGAGCACTCAATCTGTCAATTATGACACTAACACGCGTGATATGATCTCCAGACACGCTTTGGCTTCAAGAAAAAGATAGGCAGTTTATCTGAAGGTGGCTTTTCAGTTTATTCATTTCAATTCGCAGCAACTAATTACATTAGATAAAAATTCTATCACAGAATCATTCACCCCTGGAACATTAAATTTCAATATGTTTTCAGGGGGTAACGGCCTCTCTTTAGGGCACTTGCTAAGAACATGGCGGACTGGAAAAATCGCTTACGCTGAGATTAATAAGAAGCGAGACTCTGTGGTTCGAAAAGCTATTCGTGAGACCCAGAAAAATTACTGTTTATTTTCGTGGTTATATCATTTTTTGTTTTCATGCAGAGACAAATTGGACTAATTAACATTCCTGTTTATAAAGAGCTTTATTTTAGAGGTAGTTAAGTCCGTTGTGCTGACGCACGTGTTTTGTTCGCACGATTTGTTTCAAACAATAGATACTTTTTAATTAAAATTCCAATCTGTGAGTGTGGGCATAGGTATATAACAATATTGATATAATAATATTGTCACAACATTGTGTCGTCAGTCTTTAATCTGTAACATTCTTGATATATCATGACTGTATCAGACTTGCTAGAACAACCTTGTAACAAGTTTCTCACAATTGACAAGTTCAAAGTTTCTAACAAGTTTCTAGAACAAGCTTGTAACAAATTTTTCAATTCTCTGATAATGCCATCAAGCTTATTACAAGTTGTTAACAGATTGTTCCAGACTTGTTACAACAACTGGGAACAAGCAATGCGAACACAACTTGTCGACAGCCTGTGAATAGATCGCTATGTATCCTGCATATAAATTATACAATATAGACTGCAAATTTCTCAACCAAATTTTTCATTCAAATTTGACCAAATTTTATTCAATTCCTTGGGCAAATTTTCGTATTAATACGTGTCACGAAATATTTCTCTGCAACATTGAATATCACTGATCAAATAGCCATTATTTGTTTATTAGTAACTGGATTTTACTCTGTTACCAAAGAAAGTTTGTCTATTTGACTGTTTTAAAATAATTTACATAACATAAACTAATATCAAAATATTTTCTACTGAACTGTTATTTTTGGTTTGCGTGACACAGAAGCTAAAATTTATACCTGGTCCAGGTTCACCTAAAGTACCATAAACAACTGACACAAGGATTAAGAGCAAGAAGCAAGTCTTCACAGGAATTTCCATTTTTATTCAGCACGCCAGAAAACAAGATGATTCGACAGAGTGACGATGTTTAACTGAATTGCGTGAGTGCAAGACAGTTAAGATACGTCAAAACGGTTTCTTTAATTTCAAGTCTGCCAGCGGGTGGCATGACTCGCAGGTGGAATTATACTATAGATTATACATTGATATCGAAGGAACTAGATTCTGTTCCGAAATATCACATACTCGAACCGACCTGACCGCGTAACTCAGTTGGCAGAGCATTGGATTAGTATTCCAAAGGTCGTATAGGTTCGATTCCCACCGTAGCCAGGCATATTTTACAAGCTCGCCCAGTGTGGATATACACTCAGAGTAACATCACAAGCAATGTATTCACCTGAGTACATTACACCAACACAGAAAAAATCAAGAACACAAGACTGTTTCTTTCGTTGTAAGCACATTTTTGCCATGGATTGGCCTTAGTGTAGCGGGTGTAATGCTAATAACAAGCTTTCGTTGGTAGGGATGCATGCAACTTCCTGAAAAAAATAAGGAAACTTTCGACGTTTCGAGCGAAGGCCCTTCGTTTGGACGAAGGGCCTTCGTTCGTCCAGACCATAGATATCTTATATACACTAGATAGCGCATCTCTTTTATTAGAATTGAAGCCAAGAATATTCCAGCGGTTACCCCATTTGAATAGATGGCGGCCATATTGGTCGTTCCCACTTACTAATAAACGCTTAAAAAACAACAATAACTTTCATCATTTGAATAGTTTAAAAATGTATTTGGAATAGGTTTAACTTAATGTTTAAGTTCCTTTTTTATGAAATAGAAAATATACGAATCTTCTCGTTTGATGGGAACGACCTGAGACTGCAATCACTGCTTCAATTTTTGAATTGCAGAATAATTAGGTGCACTATCTAGTGTATATAAGATATCTATGGTCCAGACGCTCATGTCAGGGACATATGGCATGCACCTATAGTTATTTTTATTTAATAATTAGCTGAAGCTTTATTTTGGAGCTAAATGCTTTCGTGATGTATCTGAGTATTTCCAACAACTCGTCTTATTCTCGCAGGTAGGAATTTTAATTCAAGTATCTTATTGCTTGAAACAAATTATCGGAACAAAACACGTGCGTCGTGCGTCAACAGAACGGACTTAATTTCCTTTGAAAATAAAGCTCTTTTATACGCACGGGAACTTTTTAGTGTTAATCTTTTAATTTGTCTCTGCATGAAAATAAACAAAATATACCATGGAAATAAACAGTGAGTAATTCTTCTCATCTTCTGGGTCTCACGAATAGCCGGCTTTCGTCTTGTCTTCAACTTTTATTTCTACATAATTACTCCAGACAGTGAATTTTTTAAGGATTCTTCAGTGGTGGGGCAAAACTGCCAAAGGGCCCATTTTCCTTGCCCTCCCCCAGTATAGTATGCGATCGCCGAAGTAATTTTTTTCCGTAGACGGTCGGACTCCTCATTGATAGTCGGAACATTCAGCGGATACTCTTCTTAATATTAGATGCGCTTCCCAGTGTGTCTTGCGCGCGCAATTGGTAATCTCAAAATATTGGTTGGTTCAGATGCCAAAATCTGAGCACTAAACATTGTGGCTTCATATCTTGTGTGGTGATCACATCTGGCATTATTTTATTAAGTTATATATTTCGCCATTCCCACTTGCTTTTCTTTGCTTTTGTAACTCTTTTTTTGTAACTCTTTTCTTTTAGTCTTTTGTAACTCCTTGTAAGTTTCATTGTTTTTGATTCCATAATTCTGAACAAATAATAAGATCTGGATAGGAGGCAATAAGATCAGTGGTGGGGCAGAGGAAGGGGCCTAGTGGGGAAAATGTCCCACCAGCTCATGGTATTAAAAAATGCCTTGACTCCAGCCGAAGAGCCTTCGCTCGAAACGTCACCATTCTCCTTATATTTTTCAGGTAGTTGCATCCCTACCAACGAAAGCTTGCTATCATTAGGGAGTTTACTTATAATAAGACGGTGACATCGGGACTGCTATCAATACAATTACATTATCAGTCCAGAGGCCGCTCAAAAGGGGCACTTTTGTATATGACCAAAATCAAACGATTTTATGTCGTCATATTGAAAATATGCAATCTCTATAACGTCGGAAATGGCCTACACAGAGTCTTTATACCACGGCGAAAAGGGCACTTTCTTTCCAGTAAAAGAGGGCGTTCATTCAGGAAATACTTTTTTTCGTTCTTTAAATGGGGCATTTTAGTCCAGAAAAAGGGCACTTTAAAAAAAGGGGGGTGCCGGACACATGCTCTATTGCCCCCGGTTTCGCGGCCCTCGCACCGTCTGCAGAGTTGCACGTGCAAGTAAACACGTCATTTGAAAAGGATTTTTAAAATGTTGCGAATTCGATCACTATGGAATTCACAATTCTCAAAGAGAGAGTCAAAAAAGGTCATCAAGTTTAAGGCGGGGGTCTACCCATAGAAATAATAGACATAGAATGCGCGCTGATGATGAAACATGTCTTCACTTTTTCACCGTGCGTGCTCCATTGAACTATAAATAACTGGAAGGCTAAGTCAGGGGGGGGGGGAATTGAAGCCGTGCTTGAAGCTTTTTTGCAGGTAGACCCGGTCCTTTTTACATTTAGTTTTCAAAATATGCACATTTTTTTATCAGAAAAATCTTGCCCCAAAATATTAGTTATATATACCACCAAATTTAATTTATATCAGTAGTATGATAAACGAATTTAATATTCGCAAAGCAAACAAATAACGAATTAGCAAAAAACCGGCCCCGAAAAAACACGACCATATTAATTAAGCATGAACGGTCAGAAAAGCCGCGCGTTTTGACTGCTTTTTCTGAGTTTTTGAAAGTTTAAGATAAAACTAAGATGTCATACCTCAGGAATTATTTAAACCCATGCAAAATACATCTGTATGCGAAGTTTCAAGAAGATTGAACGTTTTAAGGGAGACCTTGATAATTTTGCATATCGCAAAAACCGAATTCAATAATTGTTTTATTATACATTTGTTTGTGTTACAGTCAAAATACAAGAACCTTCCCGCTTCTGTAACTTGTTTTGTATTTATTTGTTTTATTTTTTGTAGCGATTACCCCTTTATCGGGCATATCGCGTTAGGATCCGGTAGAATTTCGCTTTCCTTCCTTTATGTACGTCAATTTGTAGCAATGGTACGGCGGCCCAGACGCGACAGCAAAAAACAGTTTTTGTATTTTTAGATTTTTTGATTTTTGTATTTTTGTATTTTTTGATTTTTTGATTTTTTGATTTTTTGATTTTTTGATTTTTTGACTTTTTGATTTTTCGACTTTTTGATTTTTTGATTTTGATATATATTTGGATTTTTTTAATGTTTAATTAAAGACCTTGTCAAGTTCGTTCTGCACATCAGTTCTGTTCATAACAAAGGGCGACCCACAGAAATAAATATTGCCCAAATTTTGCATTTTTCGAACTGTTTTGAATTGAAACGTACTCTAGTTTATATTCGTTTACAATAGCGAACCAGAAAACTGTTAGATATTTAGTTAATAGTATGGGGGTTGACAAAACGTGGACCCCCCTTCTGGATCCCCCTTCTGGACCCCATTCTGGATCCCCTTCTGGACCCCCTTCTGGACCCCATTCTGGACCCCTTTCTGGATCCCATTTTGGATACCTTTCTGGACTCCATTCTGGATCCCTTTCTGGACTCCATTCTGGATACCTTTCTGGACCTTTTAAGAACCAAAAGAAAACATGCAAATTAAGAAAACATTACATGATACACTTTTCGTTAGATTCTTTGCATAAAAGTTGCGAAACTTCGATCTTATAGCGATATTTGTTGATAAATCGGTTTTAAACCGCCGCCTAGGGTGTTTATACTATACAAATTTAAAATTACCGAATACAATCATTCAGTAACGTACTAAAATCAGAAAATTTCTCAACTTTTATGCAAAGAATCTAACGAAAGGTGTATCCTTTGCTACAAATTGACGTATATAAAGGAAAGAAAGGGGAATTCTACCGCGATATTTGCCGACAAAAATCGCTACAGAAAATAGAACAAATTACAGAAATACAAAACAAAGTTACAGAAGCGGAAGTGGGAAGGTTCTTGTATTTTGACTGTAAATAGATACCGCTTGCTAATCATCGCAGGCTCATTTGCAGATAACTGAGTTATCTGCTAGCAGATAACTGAATTTTCTGTAGGTTGCGTGATTGCGCGATTTAACTGTAAGCTCTTAGCCAATCAAATTGCTTTTACCAACTACAATGTATAAT